ACACCTAAGACTAACTACACCTCAGACTAACTACAACTCAGACTAACTACAACTCAGACTAACTACACCTCTAACTAAACTACACAGACTAACTATACCTCAGACTAACTACACCTCAGACTAACTCCACATGGCTAACTACACCTCAGATTAACTACACCTCAGATTAACTACAACTCGACTAACTACACAGACTAAACTACACCTCAGACTAACTACACATCAGACTAACTACACCTCAGATAACTACACCACAGACTAACTACACCTCAGGACTAACTAAACTCAGACTAATCTACCTCAGACTAACTTCACCTCAGACTAACTACACCTCAGACTAACTACAACTTGACTAACTACGCTCAGACTAGCTACACAAGACTAACTACACCTCAGACTACTACACCTCAGACTAACTACACCTCAGACTAAACTACACTCAGACTAACTACACAGGTAACTACACCTCAGACTAACTACACCTAAGATAAACTACACTCAGACTAACTACACCTCAGACTAAGTACACAGGCTATCTACAGCTCAGACTAACTACACCTCAGACTAACTAACACCTCGACTATCTACACTCAGACTAACTACTAACTCAGTCTAACTACACCTCAGACTAACTACACAGACTAACTACACCTCAGACTAACTACACCTCAGACTAAACTACACCTCAGACTAACTACACCTCAGACTAACTACACCTGAGACTAACTACAAACTCAGACTAATTACACCTCAGACTAACTACACCTCAGACTAACTACACCTCAGACTAACTACAACTCAGACTAAACTACACCTCAGACTAACCACCAGACTAATACACCTCATACTAACTACACTCAGACTAACTACACTCAGACTATACTACACTCAGACTAACTACACCTCTGACTAATTACAACTCAGACTAACTACACAGACTAACTACACCTCAGACTAACTATAACTCAAACTAACTACACCTCAGACTAACTACAACTCAAACTTACCACACCTCAGACTAACTACAACTCAAACTAACTACACCTCAGACTAACTACACCTCAAACTAACTACACTCAGAATAACTACACCTCAGAGTAACTACAATTCAAACTAACTACAGCTCAAACTAACTACAGCTCAAACTAACTACACCTCAGACTAACTACACCTCATACTAACTACCCCTCAGAATAACTACACCTCAGACTAACTACAATTCAAACTAACTACACCTCAGACTAACTACAACTCAGACTAACTACACCTCAGACTAACTACATCTCAGACTAACTACACTTCAGACTAACTACACCTCAGATTAACTACACCTTAGACTAATTACACCTCAGATTAACTAAACTACACCTCAGACTAACTACACCTCAGACTAACTACACCTCAGACTAACTATACCTCAGACAACCTACACCTCAGACAATCTACACCTCAGACAACATACACCTCAGACAATCTACACCTCAGACACCTACACCTCAGGCAACCTACACCTCAGACAACCTACACCTCAGACTAACTACACCTCAGACAACCTACACCTCAGACTAACTACACCTCAGACAACCTACACCTCAGACTAACTGCACCTCAGACAACCTACACCTCAGACTAAACTACATCTCAGACAACCTACACCTCAGACTAACTGCACCTCAGACTAACTACACCTCAGACTAACTACACCTCAAACAACCTACACCTCAGACTAACTACACCTCAGACTAACTACACCTCAGACTAACTACACAGACTAACTACACCTCATACTAACTGCACCTCAGACTAACTACACCTCAGACTAACTACACAGACTAACTACACCTCATACTAACTGCACCTCAGACTAACTACACCTCAGACTAACTACACAGACTAACTACAACCTCAAACAACCTACACCTCAGACTAAACTACACCTCAGACTAACTACACCTCAGACTAACTACACAGACTAACTACACCTCAGACTAACTACACCTCAAACAACCTACACCTCAGACTAACTACACCTCAGACTAACTACACCTCAGACTAACTACACAGACTAACTACACCTCATACTAACTGCACCTCAGACAACCTACACCTCAGACTAACTACACCTCAGACAACCTACACCTCAGACTAACTACACCTCAGACAACCTACACCTCAGACTAACTACACCTCAGACTAACTACACCTCAGACTAACTACACAGACTAACTACACCTCATACTAACTGCACCTCAGACAACCTACACCTCAGACTAACTACACCTCAGACAACCTACACCTCAGACTAACTACACCTCAGACAACCTACACCTCAGACTAACTACACCTCAGACTAACTACACCTCAGACTAACTACACAGACTAACTACACCTCATACTAACTGCACCTCAGACAACCTACACCTCAGACTAACTACACCTCAGACAACCTACACCTCAGACTAACTACACCTCACGCAGCTCTGCTCTTGTCAATACAAATATTTTACTACAAATAGGTAATTACTGGAGAGAAGTGTATATATATCTTTGCATACACTTGGACATTATGTGACTTGGACTTCAATATGTGACTTGGACATTATATGACTCGATCATTAAGTAAATCGGATATATTTAAGTCGTGACCACAGCTAAAACAGTCAACACCTGACCAATGTTACTTCCTATATTTCTTAATATTAATAATATGTTAAATAACCTTTCACCAAAACATTTTACTCGGTAACAAACTCAACAAAACAACTTAACACAAATTAACTATTTCTATCAAGAGAGAAAAATACAGAAAAACTTCCATGTGAAATTCCGAGAGAAAAAAGGATTATCTGATCCCCAAACGCATAAATATATTAATATTGGACCAGATTATTACCAGAAAATGAAAATTTTCCCCCACAGTTCACGACCCGATACTTTCCTTGAAAATTGCTTTTAAAAAATTGGTCTCCTTATGGTCGGTCTGGGACCAGAAGGTCTCTCCTCGTTCCATGCATTTTCTTTCCCAGAGACTTTTGATAATCCGAAATTTTCTTGTGATCGAGATGCTGCTATTATTTGCCAGTTTTCCAGATTATTTTGGTAAAGTTTGTTACCTACGGGAAGTTCTTTTATATTTGGTCAACTTGTTCCTGTTCTTCTGTTCTCCTTAATGGGATTTAACGTAATCCGAGTATTTTTATGAGCATTCTTGCTCACAAAATTTTTTCAGTTTAGAACTAGTCAGTGTCCTGCTTATTTATTCTTCCGTTTTAACGCAGTTGAACACTTTTATGAGTGTTCCTGTTCAACTGTTCTTCTGTTTTAACGTAATTTAACATGCATAAGTATTTCTGTTCAGCTGTTATACTTTAAGGTAATTTAACATGTGAGTGTTGAAAATGGAATAAAATATCGACAAGATGAAGATTAAAAACGTTTCGCCTACACAGTAGTCTACTGTGTAGGTGAAACGTTTCATCAATAAAGACACCCAACTGTTGCACGTGTGTCTTAATCTTTAACATGTGAGTGTTTCTGTTCAGGTGTTGCTTTAATTTAAAGCAGGTAAACACTGTTTTGAGTTTTCCTACTCAGCTGCTCAAGTTCGGTGTGATCTAACACTGTCTTCTTCTGTTTGTGTTGCTGTTCAGTTGTTCTTCTAAGTCAAAGTGGATGTGACTCTACATCTGTTGTTTGTGCCTTGCTCAAGTGTTCTCTTATTAAATTTTGATGTGACATTGACCACATTTTGATTGCTCTTTTCAGTGGGTTTTCTAGTTCTAGTTCTAGTGACATTGACTACACTGAGAGTGCTCTGATGAGGCGTTCTAATTCATATGGATGTAACACTTCTTGTATTCTAAGTAGGACAACAAAGCGGGTTCCCTGGATGGTGATGTGCTACAGAGGTGAGGACTTTGTTGACCTGTGTCTGAGGCAAAAAACTGGGAGCTCTTTATCCAGGTATGGACGGCACGCTTACCTGTGGATAAATTAATGGAGCTTATGACAATATCCTCAAGTACACTTCTTCTTGGTGAGATGATTGTGTTTATCTTAATTTACAAGTAACCTACAGTACTATGGCTGAAACATAAGTCGTAAGTAATCCACAATATTGCTACTTTAACAATTCACAAGTAATCTACGATTTCGTTACTGGAACAATTCACAGGTAATCCACAATATCATTACTGGAACAGTTCACAAATAACCCACAAAGTGTAAATAAAAATTGAACCGCCTTTCGGGTCTCTCCCAAACTGTTATCATGCCACCAGTTTTGAAGGAAATAAATCTTAGCCTGGGGTACGTTTCTGTGCCCCTCAAGGGAGGTAGGTACCTTGAGACCGGTGAAAGATTCCTCATCCAAGGAATCGAACCTGATTACCTCCCATTAACCTAGGCGTTGCATGACCCTTTTGGGTATAGCGGTGCCCAATGAATGTAATAAAAATAATAATTAGTTCCAGTACAGCAGTGATTTTCTCTGTGCATTTTTACATGTTGTAATATTTGGAACATGTCTGACTTCGTGTCTTCCTGGTTGACTGATCTGACTTACTGCTGTTTTTTTTTACAAGGGACTTGATGATGGCCGGGGAAAAGACAAACTTCGTTCAGCTTAGAAAACCAACTTGGGAGTCAGTAAACCTTCTAGGATCACCCTTGACTGAGACAGTTTTAGTTGTAACACTCGTGTTTACCTATAACAGAGCCGGTTAACCCGACCTGCGCCTTAAGATGTAAATGTTTGTTTACGTATGTGACAGTCGGTTAACCTGAGTTTGTCCTCCAGACATAAAGCTAATTAACCAGAGTTCTACCGTCAGATGTAACTCTCTTGTTTACTTGTGACTGAGGTATATAAACAGAGGTCAGCCTCCAGATGTAAAAGTCGTGTTTGCCTCTGACTGAGTTAAACACGACTATCACCTGATATAACGCCCGTGTTCCCCTGCGGCTGAGGCCACACCTCTTAATATGGTCCCCTCCTACAGGTGTCATGGATGAGAGGTCGCGACCTGAGAATCCTGACGGTGGGTCGCTATACCTACACCACCGACCTGAGGTTCGAGGCGCTGCACCAGCAGGCGAGCACTGAATGGACGCTCAGGATCAAGTCGGTGCAGCTGCGTGATCAGGGAAACTACGAGTGTCAGATCACCACACGACCCATCAGCACCTTCAACGTCTTTCTCAAGGTGGTAGGTACGTAGTCACCTGTGTTCACCTGTTTCCTCTGGAATCATTCTTCATTTGAGTCCTGATTTCCTGCGAACGTTAATCGGCTCTGTGAAGCCAAGTCTTTTCCCCAGTATAGTTGTTCACTGAAGACACTGTTCACCTATTAATTTATGAACAGGGTCCTAACTTGTTTACCAAAGACCTGAAATTGCTCACTCGTTGAGAAAGGAAGAAAGCTCCATCTTAATCAGTGAGGACTCGAGACTCTACACTTGTTACGTGACAAAAGATGTAATTTGTTCACTAAAGCTCCCTAAGAGCGTGTTCCTGAACATTTGTTCACTAGAAGACCTAAGACTTGACTTGTTGAGTGAGGACTCGAGGCATTAACTGACTCAGGGATGTTGCTGGGTATTTCTCTGTTCATTTTCTTGTTTACATCCCGAGAACTAATGAGGGAAAAATGGACAAAAGAAAGAAAATATAACAGAGAATAAGAGCGTGAGGAAGAGAAAGCAAAGAAAATTCGTGAAGAAAAAATCCTTGATCAGATAACTTTCCTCGGCAGATCACATGGAGGCGGTGTTGAAAAACGGAACAATAAACGGAGAAAATAGAAAGAAAATGGGAAAGAAATGGGAGAGAAACTGAAAAGGGTATAGTAATAAAGAAGAGGAAAAGTTAGTTGAATCAGACAAGACGAGACACAGTTGTTTTTATTTTTCCCATCATTTTACTGCAGATGATGGAAGGTTAAATAAAAGTGAGAGAGAGAGAGAGAGAGGGAGGGCGGAGGAGGAGAGGAGAAAGAGAGGAGAGAGAGAGAGAGAGAGAGAGAGAGAGAGAGAGAGAGAGAGAGAGAGAGAGAGAAGAGAGAGAGAGAGGAGAGAGAGAGAGAGAGAGAGAGAGAGAGAGAGAGAGAGAGAGAGAGAGAGAGAGAGAGAGAGAGAGAGAAAGAGAGAGAGACTTGTGTAACTGGTTATCTCTGCTACGCCTAGAGCCGACGGTGGAGGTGTTGGGAGCGCCGGACATTTACGTGAATCGAGCCAGTATGATCAACCTCACCTGCATCGTCCACCACGCCCCCTACCCACCTGAGGCCATCACCTGGTACCACAACAACCAGGTGAGTACCCCTCTCTACCCCAGCAAGACCAGGTCACTCTTCTCTATCACAGTGAGACCAGGTGAACCTTCCCTACCACAGTGAAACCAGGTCAGTCTTCCCTATCAACTCGAGACCAGGTCACAGTCTTCCCTACCACCCCGAGACCAGGTCAGTCTTCCCTATTCCAGTGAAACCATTACTTATTTATTATTAACACATCGGCCGACTCCCACCAAGGCAGGGCTTCCATCGACACCATGCCCAGCCCTTCTAGGGCAGGGTAGGTGCCTGAGCCCGAGCTTGTAGCTCACAAGACTGTCATTCCCATTAGCCCCCTTTGGGCGGGGATGGCAGACCAGAGAGGCCTAGCTTGTGGTTAGGCCTGGGGACAGTTGGTCCCAAAGATGAGGAGATACTTGTGCCTCCTCCCATGGGAGACTTAGGTCTCAGACACTCCCTAAAGAGGGAGCCAAGGCCGGGCCACCACTTGGAAAAGGCCCGGGCCGGGAGAATATTTAATATCTTTAATAATAATAAATAATATTAATAAATAATAAGGCAGGGCGGCCCGAAAAAGAAAAACTTTCATCATCATTCACTCCAGCACTGTCTTACCTGAGGCGCGCTTTCACTATAGTTATAAAGCTGCAACATTAACATTAATATTTATTTTATTTTTTGTTGACCCTTTCTGTCTGTCCGTTTGTCTGTCTGCTTCTTTCTCTTTCTTTCTCTGATGTTTAACATCTATATCCGGCAGACCAGTTGACAACTAGCCAACGATATTAACAACACACCGATAACCCGCACATAGGAGAGAGAAGAACTTACAACGACGTTGTAAATGGTTCAGATCTGACCGAAACGTCGTCATAAGCTTCTCTCTCCTATTTGTGGGATATCTGCGTATTGTTCCAGTCAGGGAATTGTGCCTTTTTGTTCTTTATGTAGACAATGATAACAGCTCCGGAAGTAGAAGTCTGTGACTGTCATGGTGGAACTAATGGTAACCGGAAGTAGAACCACTGGTATACACACATTTCCACACACATTTCTGCACACATTTCTGCGTGGCAGTGTAGAAACACCGGCAGAAACAGTTGTAGTCTACATCTTTCATCCACTTTCATATCTCCTGTAAATTTCATGCTACTGTTAAGGATGGTATGGTGCATTTCTCCTTCATATCTCCCCCTCCATTTACATGCTGGCAGTGGCCGGAGGGGGTGGAGAGTGGGAAGTGAACCTTTTGCTTTATTATCCTTGAACTAGGATAGCATCGATGCGGATTCTTCAAGTCCTCTATCTATCTTCCACAC